TTTCCAATTGACATTTGTGGCCACAATCACTTGGCACTCTAGTTGGGCCTTTCCACAGATTTACATTTTTGCTATTGTTGAGACAGAAAGCAAACCAGCGAAATTACATCTTAGCAAAGTAAAGAGCAAAGCTGAAGTACGTAGTTATGCAAGATGGAAGAACAAGAAAAGTTTTGGTTTGCAATTTGGTGATTGGTCAAGAGGCATCTGCATTAATGGTTACATAAGATTGATTTGAATTAATCTGATGATTCATGATTAATTTGAATGACGCAGTTTAGACTTAAGCGCTATTTTTAGGAAAGAGAGATGAAGTTTCCAAATGAAATAAAAAATAAAAGAGGTTATAGTGAATTAAATTTAGAAGTTTGTTTTCATATTTTTTATCTTGCATATATATCCTCTACAGATATTACTTAAGATATATAAATGGCAACATATAAATTTAAGATGTAGCAAAAAAAGCTGATATTCATCCATGAACTATAAAGCATTTGCTTATTCATTCTGATTATTATTATGATAATAATTACAACTATTATGACAGGCCTTTCAACTCTCATAGATATATATATCACTCTAGTACTGTGATACAGTTCTCCTGTGCAACTAATTAAACTACCTTGTAAATCCTCTGAAGATATCTTCCTACAGCACAATATTGTATTCCCTTATGTTTTTATGATCATAAGGCAGTAAACTGAATAACATGTTACCAATGACCAGCCTACAGGTACACAGTCCTTAAAAAGTAGATCACTGCTGATAAAACTATTTCCAGCAGCACTGGGGACTTTTAGATTTTTCTATTTTTGAAATTATTTAAAATTCTACCATTGCCCCACACGATGATGATCAATGGGTTCATTTCTAATTATAATTAACTTTAGATCACGGGTGATCAACAGCTTGATGCCACTAGTATGCTTTATTTTCATTTAAAAGTCTAAATTTATTCATGCATAAGATTGACTTACTAGTGTAGGACACTGTCCATCAATCAGGCAATAATTCAATCAGTGAGTCACCAGTGACCAAGACATTTGAAAAGCATTGCTTTGCTTCCATTTAATTTTAGTTTTAAAATTTATCTAACTTATCTAAATTTACTGCACCATCAAATGCTAATGATCATCAGCTGGTGAGCACTGGTCACCAATAGCTTTAATACAATTGGTATCCCACAATTTATTTTTAATTTAAAAAATGTATCTGAATTTATTTCACTGTGGCACACTTTGACCCATTAGCTGATTCCAAGTGACCCTTAACCCATTAGTCATCAGTAGCCTACTAACTGGTCACCAGAGCCTTAACTGGCCCACTATGCTTTGATTTAATTAAATTTAAATTGCACTGCCCCAGATCAGGGACCAGTCAGTGCAACAAAGTGATTGGAATTTCAGAAGTCATCAGTGATCTAATACTGCCAATAGATAGCTATGCCCTTCATTTTAATTTTATTTAAAACCTTTATCTAAATTCAATAATTCTAATACTGTCCTATACCAATAATTTATGGATTTAGCATCAGTGACCATAAACTAAGAGCCTAGATGAAACTAGTGTGCTTCATTTTCATTTTAATTAAAAATCTAAATTTATTTCATCTCCCCCCCCAACAATGACCCATAAGATATTCATATAATGAGACAGATTTAATTTTAGTTTAACCCTTTAAAAAGCACTGATATATAAAATATAACAGATGTCTGTCAGTTTTTAAACCTCCTAAAAATGCTAATTTTTCTACACCAAAAACTGTAATAGAAAGTTTATAGTATTTTCTTTTGATTCTAAATGGCAGCGCTACCCTATGAATGTTCAATATTTTGCAGTTATGAAAAAAACATACTTCGTTCCAAGGTATTATGTTTGAAGAATCAAATTCTATTGGAGTGGAAGAAAAATTCAAAATCTGCAAATATATGACATACACATGCTGAATCCTATATATTTACTGCATTTCAGTCAGAAATGATAATTTAAAGAATCGTCTACATGAAATGAAATCATCTACACGATTTTAAGACCAGTATATAATATATACCAGCTCCCTAACTGAGAGTACCACGACAATAGATGCCAGCACCAGGCTTCTTCTTTTCTCTCTCTGTGAGATGACAGAATTTCTTTATATTATAATAATTTATGATGCAATAACTATTAATTTACAGGTTGTTTAGGATTCAATATTACATTTATGGGGGATGGGGAGTTTACTGATCCCTGTGATAGGACTGAATACAGGCATATTAGTTTCTTTTCATTCTTTGTTTACTCCACTCGAATTTCTCATTCGTCTCTGTTTAGCTAAAATTTTAATTTCAGCACTTCACCCTTTCCCAGGAGAAAGACGCATTGATTTCGAAATTGTCATCTGGCATCAAATGTTACACAATGCTACACAGTTAGTTGTAGGGGTTAAATGTGGCATGTTACCCCCAAAAGAGAACCGTTGCTTTGTGTTTTCCAAAATCCTAGAATGAAGCGAAAATGAAAAGAGATAACTGATAACTAATTTGTCATTCAGGGGTCATGCCATCTTCACAAATGGGCTGTGATAAGATCACACAAAGATAAAGCTCACTTAAATATACAGGAAATAGAAATCCACTTTAGGTCCATCTCTTAGTGGAAAAGTTGCTGATTTCAAAGCATGCTTCTATTTTTCAGGGTATTGTCTTTGTTAATTTCAGATGAGAGACTAGGGAACATAAGAGAAACTTCCCCCCCCCTGGTTAGGATAGAAATAGTTGGTTTTCGAAATAAAATTTCACAGATGGTGAAAGGAGGGAAAATATTCCAGTTTTAGATGCAAACCAAAATTTATCCAAAAGTTCAAAGGGGCGTCCAGGAGGCCAAAGGGGCTGAAAATCGAAATAAGAGCTCTGATGTGTATCAAATAATAAAATCGTTTAAATAGTTCAAAATTGGATTTCTTCCTGAACAAAATGATATATTACAACCTATATTTACAAAAAATTTCGAAAAAAAGGATTCCTTATGGGTCTCGAGAATGCAGATGTGTGTGGGGGTGTATTCTTGGTATCATAGCAAGAACCATGCTCTTTTTAGCTCAAAGGGCTATTAATTTTGTTTTGGCATTTTGCATCGATTCACTTTCTGAATTAATTTACTTTTTCAAACTGTTGCCACCAACTATTACAGCCCTGTATTATCATCAAAGAAATTAAATAAGAATTTATAAAAATGTATGTATGTTTCTCACACTGTGATAAAACAACCTAGAGGCATCAAATTTTGAATAACGTAATCCTCCAGCGAATACGGAATTATGGCAACCCCAAATTGGAATTTGTTTTATTACCTATTTCATATTTTGTCAAATATTAAATAATTTTTTATTAAGAAATTCAATGATTTCAAAGCGAGGAATGGCAACACTGTATGGAAAAAAGTTTTATCTCCAGTGTGCGAGACTGTGTATCAGAAATTCTAAAGATATGCTCAATGCTCATTTATATTTTGCAATATTGCTGTTGAATTTAATTTTATCGTTAAGTCGAAGAACATGTATAAATAAAGGTACAGAAAAACATTTAAAATTCTTCCACTTTGGGCAAATGTAAAACCTCAAAGCTTTCAGATTTATTTATTTATTATTATTATTTTTAAATATATTATCCAAAGCATAAAATACAATAAGTTCAAAACTGCAACACACTTTTTCAGCTGAGTCATAGTGTTTCATTATTCAATTTTTTATTTTTCGGCTGATTTACATCTCCTTGTAACATTATACTAGTTCAGTTACGACATGATACGATTTACAAATACAATGTTATATTTGCTAAATGTTTTCCATAAAATTATAATATTTAAGTTAAATCAATTTCAAAGGCTTTTTACCCATATTTTACATAAGTATATTCGGCTGGGTTGCATCATCAAAGTGCATAAAAGCATAAATTTTATTTTTAGCCCAAAGGAGGGTTAGATCAGAAGGGCTACTAATTTTTGGGATTTTGCATCAATTCACTTTCTGCATTGATTCATTTTTCAAACTGTTGCCACCAAATATCGCCCTATGTTATATTTAAAGAAATTAAATAATGAAGAGTCTGCATAAACATATGTATGTTTCTTGCACTGTGATAAAACAATGGTACCTAGAACCATCACATTTTGAATAATGCAATCCTTCTCCGAATATTTGCATCTGGAAGCCCAAATTTGGAATTTTATTATCTATTTCATATTTTTTAAAGCATTTATGAGTTTTGGATTAAGAAACTCAACAATTTCAAAGCAAGCAATGGCAACACTGTATGAGGGGTATAAAACATTTTTATTTTCAGCGTGCGAGGCTGTGTATTGGAAATTCTAAAGATATGTTCATTTTAAAATTATTTTGTGATATTGCTGTTGAATTGAATTTTATGGTTTAAGTGCGAAGCACATGATATTTAATAAATAAAGGTAACACAGAAAACGTTAAAAAATGCCACTTTAGGCATAATGTAAAATCTGAAAGCTTCAGTTTTTTTTTTTTTTTTTTTAATTTTTAGCGAAAAGTTTTTGAGGGGCACTGGTATTCAGGATTTTGCTCTAGATTTTGTTTAAGTCTCAATTTTGGGTTCTTAAAGTCCACAAGTTACCATTCGTGCAACATTTTACCACAGTATAAATTATTTTATATACCGCTTCTTAAAGGGTTAAAAACCTATGTTAATTAATTATACCTTTCAACAGGAATGACCCAAACTAGTTGACCCACAGTGGCTTAGAATCTGTATGTCAAAGCATAGATTACAGGTTACAAAATGCTTCAGTGGATGCCGATGTTCTTTGGTTTAATTTTATTTTTAAAAGTGTTCTAAATTTTCTATATTGTTCTACAACACTAGCAACACACATCTTGAGGGATAGAACTGTAAAATAAGTATGTAAATAGAACTTCTTAGAAAAACTTATAAATGAAAAATTCACTGCAAAGTCTACAAGAATATTTTTATTTATATTTAAAATATACATACTCATCTGTACCACAGGCATCTCTGCCATCGTACATAGTAACATTCCTGTCAGGGCTGTAAAATAACAGAATATTATAGTTGGAAAAAAGTAATGGGCTATATACATAAAACTTTTAAAAAATGAGCAATTCTCCAAATTTTGATCATGCTAAATTATTGGTATTATGAATATATATATACATAGATGTCAAAGGTCATATATTTTTCTTACAAGATATGAAAAACATTGATTTGATTTATTTATAGCAATTGGTATATTTTTCTTTATGGTTTACACAAGTTTTTCTGTTTTAAATGTTTATTCCTATACTCTTATATATATTTTTTTAATTTTTCTTCTCCTCACTATATTTTTTATTTCAGCCACTGAGCCATTTGAACACATTTTCATTCTATGACAAGAAGACAACAATAAGCATAATTTATATATAATAAAACACACACAAGTACACACGGCATACATACGCTTCTCTATAATATATCACATAACCAAGAAGTGAGCGAAAATCCATATCAGTATAAGTCTTGCGAAAATCCTTCCACCTCAAGCCAACTACTCCATGTGAAAGAATCCATACTTCTAGCTCCATTTTAACAACATTGCCTAAAATATTAACAATTAGTTAATTTTATACAAAATTTTAGCACTAAGTTAATCAAAGCGAGCATGTTAATAACAATCAGAATGAATGAAAACAACCGGCGGAGTGATAAAAGAATATTGCTACAAAAGTACTAAAAACCACTGAAATTCTAATACTGTAAAAACATTTTTAACAAATTTTATAAATGTAGACTAAAAATGAAGACAAGAAAATTATCAAAACTAGCACAAAAAGGGATGAACCAAGCTGCAATAGGAAGCCATTATTTTACCTGACATAAAAAAAAAACATTGTCATAGTGTTCTGTTTTATAAACGGATTTATTATGCACATATAATAAAATATGTTCAAACTGTTGTCTATGAGAAAGAAGAGCAATAGTCATGATATTTACTATGTCATGGTTCATTAAAATTCTTTAGTTTAGTTAGTAGTATAATTTTTAACTTTGGATTTCACTTAATAGAGTATAATCTCAATATGGTTAATATTTCAGTATGCTGAAGTTTATAAAGGCTTTTTCTGACACTGGTTATATTAAAAATATGTATTTGTATATTTTAAAACTGCTTAAGCTTACCTACTAAGTATTTTCAGCAGCACTTAAGTTTCCTAAGGGGACAGTGGACGATGATTTTAACAGAAATCGACCATAAATTGGGAAAAACAAAATTTCATATCATTATATTCTACAGTTTTAACTTTATTGTCTACAAAAAACCGCTTGTGTGTAAAATTATTTTTAAAGAAGTTATAAGCATTTGAATATGTCTGTTTACCTTTTTCAGAAAAAAGATCAACAAACAAACATTTGAGAAACGTTATTTTAATTTCTGCAACTAATAATTTTTAGTATTAGTAAGATATGAAGACTGCAATTTATTCAGGTTTGTTTCACTGTTCTTCCATGGATGACTCGCCCAAACATAATAAATAAAGCTAAATCTAATTCAATGATGAAAACCACATTAACAGTAAATGTTTTATTCAAAATACTGGCAGTGTATCAAAGACTAGCCAGTAATGAACTTATAGCAAGATGCATATCTAGAAAAACACAAAACACTAGTAAGAGTTTACATAGTGTCATTTGGAAGAATTGCCGCAAGGAAACATTTGTATCAAAAAACAGATTCGAAATGGCTGCTATTAAAACAATTAAAGACTTTAATTTCGGTTGTTTAAATGCTTTAGGTATGGAAGAGAATGATATATATTCATGTTCAATATCTATTGGACAGACGCAAGATAAACATCATATACGTAGTATATTCGGAAACTAAGTACCGTTTCATTCTAGCACCGTTGCAGCGCTGTGATAGGCGTTCCGCGCATGCGCACTAGTCTTTCTTGTTCACTGACTTTCAATTGTCGCCATTTTGGTTGCTCTATGTTGTGTTTTCAGTTTGCTGTGCACATTCAAAATGTTTAAGACAATTAGTTCTCCCGCTGACTGTGAGATTCGTGCCGTGATTAAATTTTTGAACGCGAGGAATGTTAAACCGGCCAAAATTTATCGTCAAGTGACAGAAGTTTACGGTGAATACGCGATAAGTGATGGAATGGTGAGAAAGTGGGTAAGAATGTTTAATGCAGGTCGAACAAATGTCCACGCCGAGGCTCGGAGTGGTCGGCCTTCTGTTGTCACCGATGATTTGGTAAGGAAAGTTGATGAAGCAATTCATGAGAACAGACGCTTCACAATGACAACTCTTTCAGAGGCATTTCCACAAATTTCACGTACTGTTTTTTTTCGAAATTGTGTCTGACCGCTTGAATTATCGCAAACTGTGTTCCCGATGGGTTCCAAAAATGCTCACTGATGTTCACAAAACAAAGCGACTTGGTAGTGCCCTGACATTTCTCACGCGGTACAGTGATGAGGGAGAAAACTTTTTAAACCAAATTGTGACAGGTGATGAAACTTGGGTGTGTCATTTCACACCAGAATCGAAACAACAATCGATGGAGTGGAGACACACTCATTCTCGGAAAAAACAAAAGTTCAAAGTGACAATGCCATCACAAAAAATCATGTGCACTGTCTTCTGGGATAGGAAAGGCGTTTTGCTTACTGAATTTCTTCCCAGAAGTGAAACCATTAATGCGGCACGATATTGTGAGACTTTAACAAAACTAAGGCGTGCCATTCAAAACAAACGAATGCTCAGTAAAGGAATTCTGTTGCTCCATGACAATGCTCGGCCCCATACTGCTCGTGTCACTCAATCGTTAATTTGACAGTTTCATTGGGAGCAGTTCGATCACCTGCCGTACAGCCTGGACTTGGGGCCGTCTGACTATCACTTGTTCCTGCACATGAAGCACGAGCTTGGTAGCAAGCACTTTGGATCTGACGATGACACGAAAAATGCTGTGGAGTTGTGGTTATCGAAACTGGCGGGAAGTTTCTTTGACGATGATATACAAAAACTGGTCACCCGCTATGACAAGTGTTTGATCATTGGCGGAAACTATGTTGAAAAATAGTTTAAGACATGTATTTTCATGTGAAAATAAAATTGGATTCGAAAAAGTTGTTTTAATATTTTTTTTCAAAACGGTACTTAATTTCCGAATACGCCTCGTAGTACAAAGTGAAAAGAGGTGTTCAACTGGATAGAAGAAAAGATTTACCCCCCCCGAAAAAACTGTATACAGTAGCTAAACATAATGAAAATGTAAATAAGGAAGGTAAAACATATGGTGCGGGCATGCTTAGCGCCGTCAAGCAAATGTCTAGCGAGCGTGTTTATGCAATGACGATATTAAAGGGAAACTGCTTATGGTTAACACTTCAAATGAAGTTTTATTAACACAATAATATGAGAAATTTAAAAAAATTACATTTTAACTTTCAGTTTGTCTAAATGTGCAAACATTTTGTGCTTTGTTAAAACCCACACTCAATCATATTTATTGAAGAATGATACACATATTTATGTTATAAAAAAGTAACACTGCAACTAAGCAAAATAATACACTACCATTGGATACTAAATATATTCCTTAACACAATTTGTTATCTTAAAATTAAGAACAAATTAATTCCCGCATCTAATAAGTTTGCAATGAATAAGTTGTTGTTAGCATCGTTTACGACAAGGTTCAAACTGTGATTACAACAGGGCACAAAAAGTGCTCTAGGGCTGATGATATCTAGGAATATATCTAAAATTATTTTCTCTGCACAGCACTATGTTGTTGACAACAATATAGCTTAGAATTTCAACCGGAAATGCTCAGTTTTCTTTCAAAAGTTTGCAAAAACCGCAGTTCATGCATAAGATCTATATTATTTATATCACGCTGATTTTTATCAGTTAATGTTTTGCAGCTTTTCATATAAGCTGAGCTGATGTTGCAAATATATGTGAACAAAAATACCTGATGTCAATGGTTATATAAGGTTAGACGCTAGTGCCATAGATGCGTTCGACAAATTGCTTAATCCTTATTTTGTGTCTTCTGTTGCAATCGCAGTAATTTGTGCAACGTATATCTTTTTTGCGATTTTGTTTATGATTGCTTGTTGTTATTGTTATTCCATAAAAAAGGTAAGTGCAGGTTACATATTATGTTAAACTAGGGTTACCTTTCCAGAAAAGCTATGATTTTAATGTAATTACTCGATTTTCTTTTTTACATGAACTATTTGTTAATTAAACTAAAAATTATTACCTTTCGAGAAAAAAGGGTTGACATAGTTACAGAATACCACTGCATTTAAAATATATTTGAGATTTGAAGTGAAGTAAAAGTATACAAGGTATTCTGAAATTAAAAATTGCCATTTTCTGATTCTTAGCTATACAGAAAACCGAAGGAAAATGTCGTTATGTCATTACGTCTTAAATACATACTTTAAATTTCATTTATTTATTTTGATACACAAAAGAGTACTTCAACGTCCTTGAATTATTTGGTGTTGATCTAATATTCATATATTTTCCCAGCAATGGTTTAAGATGTACTCTTTTTCAAAAGTAAAGAAAAATATTTCCAACAGTGACTTTCCAAGTGTTTTTAAGACGAATTGGTTTAAGTAATAGTTCTTATAATAGTTATTTTCTACTTTTATTTTTACTTCCACTTTTTATGTCTTCATTTTCCCCCAGATGTTGGAAGAAAAACAGAAAAACTATCTGGGTATCAGAATTTAATGAAGAAAGCAATAGTAAGACTTAATAAACCGGAGCTGTAAAATTACTCAATTTTTTAAAAACGAAGAGAATACTTAAGCTGATGCTATTAGCATAAGTTGTCCATCAGTGGCTTCAGCTAGCGCTGAAAGTATCAAAGGAATCTAATAATCAGAAAGAGTTCAATAGTGTTTTCACCCGGGGAATTACTTTTAATTTCAATGCAGCCGGTCCAAAAAAACAGAAGAAATACTAGTGACATCTTTTATTTCTCTGCAGTAGATACGCATTTGCCTGTGCCTTATGGCTCCGGATTATGACCAAGTCCATTATTGCTATCCCAAGTTCAAGCCTTAATAGAAAATGGTCCTGAATATTATCAAAAACCTGGTTTCCAGTTTCAGTTTCCGAAAAGACAAAAATGGACGTAAATTTTTTTAGATGCACTTTTGTCGAATTTTGCCAAACAATGAATGAAAGAGTTAAAAGGAATTGGTTGCTAAAGTCTGCTGGAAAGAATTCTGCTTATTATTTTTGTTACAAAATTTGTAAGAGTTTCAGCAACGTAAAATTGAGTAGTTCTGAATTTAATGACTGGAACCACTCAAATGAGCACTTAAAACTTCATGAAAAACATAAAATGCATTTCCGGCATCTATACCTTTGGTCCAATTTCTTTCAATAATTATGAAAGAATATCAAAATTTAATAATAATAAAAAAAGAGACTAAGCATTGGCACGATGTTATTGAAAGAATTATCTATGCCATTCAGTTTAGCCAAAAAATTAAATTGCAATGAGGCAGAAATTTTTTTCAAAGATATTTGATATAACTGTGATAAAATACACATGTAAGCAAAGTTTCATATCTCTATGAAAATAATTTAAAAAAAATATTTGAACGTCCACTGTAAGAGCATTCTACTGTATCTCATAGAAGGTTCTTTTCATACTCTTGTATCTCTGAATAGACTTCATAACAATTACAAATTTTTTGGATAATTGTCCTTAGATATATATCTTGGAACAAATAATCTAAATTTAATGTTTTCTTTTCATTGATTTTGTACAGAAGCATTTCCTCCGAGTTGAAAAAATATAATTTTTAAGGTAAATTTTTATGAATTATTTCCTATAAGGAACTTCAAAAAAGGAAAATCTGCTGTTTCCTTTGAGGGATTCATCTCAATCTCTGCTTGAAGGCTAATTAAATTTTTTTATAAACTTCAGCCATATACTAATATAGATATATATAATACAGAATGCTTTTAAAGTGTCCCCCACCCCCACAATTCTCACTTCTTGCTAGATAAGTAGAAATATTTTTGCTGATATTTTCCAGAACAACCTTGCCTTCCTTTTCATTAGTCGTCAAGAAAAAAGGGACACTAGAAATTTTATTTAAAAAAAATTGTCAGATGTAGAATCCAAACATAATGCTACTTGATGCAGCTTCCTTTTATTTGTAGTCTGTCAAAATTTCAAGGATTTTAGCTAACTTATCGCAGTTTTTCAATTTGCCTAATTTTCTGAAACCAGTGTAAAAAAAAGTAATTAAAAAACTTGAGCCAATATAAAATTATCAGAATTTTATAAACTTACATGCCACTCTATCCCCATTTGAGCTTGGTGATACATCTGTGTCATCCCAATCTTTAACATTGGCATATTTTTTAAGTTCATTGATTTTATGAAGGCACAGCTTGGAATTAAAGTGAAAAAATACTTTTCCTCCAGCGATGGTCAGATTCACTTTACGATTCTCCCAATCCCATAACTCTTGAAGATTCTGGTTATCTAGGACTAGAAAGGCATAGCTAAATAAAGAAGGGAAAAAAAACTAATTACCATTATATAACATTATATTGTTTTGTTACAATGATTATTCCATACAGGGCCGGATTAAGACTGATAGAGGCACTAAGCTCTTCAAAGATATTGATGCCACCACATATGTTTATGCCAATAGTTTTTTAATTCCTTCTCTTTCTCAGTTATGGTTTAGCTGTATCATGCATTCCATGGTTAAACCGGAAGGGGGAAATTTTTATACCCCCTTTCCTGAATACTTAAGGACCTTTTCGTAGTACCCCCTTTTCTTGATGTTCTAAGCATGTACTTAATAATGCTTAACGATTAATCCAGCCCTGATGCCATAAGTTAGGAAAGTTACAATCATAAAAACATATGTCTAAAGGTTCTATGCTGGTGCAAATGGCTGCCTCAGATGACTTACAGTCTAATAGTACCGTATTTGACAGCATACAAGACGCACCCTTATTTAGAAGGTCACACACAAGGAAAAAAAGTTTCAATAGTCCGCGTGACAGCGCAGTACCACAATAACTTAAAATGTGGTTTCTTTTAGTTCTCATGCTTCGTAAAAGCCAAATAAACAATCATTGAATGCAATTACCAAACATATTTTTATTAAGGAAAATTAACAAACAGCAAGCTATTTTGAACATGATATGTAAATTTCAATAATGAGTAAATGAATGAACGGCAAGCAATCAAGCATAATACAAAATAAAGCAGAAACAACAGAAAACACAGATTCAAGGAAAACGTTGCCTATCATGAAATTAGACTTTAATCACTTTCAAAACCATAAAAATCCTTTTCACTATGATCATCATCGAAAACGAGAATATCGCCATCACTACTGTTTCCGTCATCGTTAATATCACCTTCTTCGAATAATGTGACGTCTTCTGTTCCGTCAAGAGCATTACTGATTCTGCACTTCTTAAAGAAATTAACAATCACTTCAGCCTTTACGTCCTCCCAAGATCTTTTTACCCACTCGCACACTTCTGAAATAGAGGGATGCTTCATTCTACCTGAGGGTGTGAGGGCGCCATGTGGCTCTCCTATCCACTTGTTCCATCGTTCTTGCACTTTTTCCTTAAATGACTTATTCACCGATACATCTAAAGGCTGCAAATGGCTAGTTGTTCCACCAGGAATGATAGCTATCTGGGTTTTAATTCTCTCGCTTTATTCTTTATGGTTTCATTTCTATGGGCGCTAAACAGATCCAAAACCAAAAGAGAGGGTTTTCTTAAGAGTCCACCAGGTCACCTCGCCCATATAATCCGAAAGACTGGTTCATCCGAAAGGCTGGATGGACGAAGCTGAAATGTAACCACAGTTTCATTCCAGCTTCGTCCATCCAGGCCTTTTGGATAAACATGAACAATTACACCCATTGGAAGTTTTTCTTTCGGATGAGTTTTTCTTTTGAATATGAAAAACGGCGGTAGTTTTGTGCCATCACCACAACATGTCACGACCTGTGGTTTTTATGGTTATTGATTTAGACCTATTAATACTCACAGTCTTGTTGGATGGTACATCAAATGTGAGTGGAATTTCATCCATATTTCCTACTTGACCAAGCTCAAAAGAAGTTTTCTTGCATGCATTTATAACAAACCTATGAAATGCTAGTATTTTTTCTTCATAATCTGCTGGCATTTTCTGTGCAACAGTTGTTTTTGTGCGCATTGATAAGCCTTGCCTTTTCATGAACCTGTAGCACAAGCCCTCAGACCCTGAAAAGTTCTGATTCCCATGTTTTTCTGCAAATCCTTTGGCCTCATTGATTATCATTTTAGTTGAAACACTTATCCCAGATTTCCTCTTCCTCTTATCCCAGATTTCTCTTATCTCACCCACATTTTTACGGCATTTTCAAGTTCAGGCCAAGATGGAGCTGGGCATTGAAGGTTATGTTTTTGTTTTTTAGCACTCTTCAGTTGATCTTCCTGCAGTCGCAAAGTACATATCATTTTTTCGGTAGGTGGTGGACCAAAATGCCTTGCTGCTGCTCTGTTTCCATGCACTTTGGCGCAGTTTAACACTCCTAGTTTATAAAGAATTGTATAGCTTAATCTCTTGTTTCCTGTAGTCATATTTTCCAAGGTATTTTTTTTAAACAAATAGTTTTAAGCACCGATACTGGCACGTTTATACAGAGTAGCACCGATACCGATACGTGTGTCGGCTGAGTCAAAGAAAGTCTATGTAAAGAAGAAAAGGCTCCATAGACGTAATGTGACCATCAAACCTGTTCTAACTTCGACATCAGCTTCGAGCTTTGGCGCTTTTTGGCGATAGTTATTTCACGCATGCACAAAATAATTATGGCAGATGTGATGTAGAAAAAGTTATGTGTGTCTAGACATTTATCCGGCCTAAAAATTGCATTCAGTATTGAAAGTTAACCTGTGTCGTTCACATATAAGACACAGGTAACTTTTTTGAGACCAAGTTTAGGAAAAAAAGTGCATCTTATATGTCGTCAAATACGGTACCTCTGGGCTATATCCAGCTTATCAGTATGCTTTTTATCATAATCTCCATATTACTGTTTTATTCGACTAAGCTCAAACTTTGAATAGCTGATGTGTCAGTTTTCTCTTGTATGCTTAAAAATGTCCTCCTACAAACTTCCAGCACTATTAGGACAAACGGAAATTCACAATTTCTTAAATTGACAATGTAATCTACAAAAATAAGTACTAAATTGAGTATTTATATTGAGGGTTTATTGTTCAGTACTTCTGTGAATGATAAATTAATTTAAAAATAAATTATATAATTAAAAATTTTAAATAAAGATAAAATCATTAACATTTGAATAAGGTTATAATCATAGGTACAATGTATTTTTCCTCCGATCATGAAACTGGCAGACATATCGCCAAACTTATTATATTCATTCTGATGGAAGTTTAAAGGAGTATATTGTTGTTTAATTAGTCAGGTAATTAACAGATACAAATTACAGATATATAGCCCCAAAATTATTAAATAAATATGAGCTTAGAGCTTAACCAAACATTTTGGTGAAAGTCTGGACTGGACAGATCCTCTTTATTCAAACAGATAATCAGCAGATAAGTGGCTTATTGAGGATTAACCTTTTAACTGTCATGCCCGAAATAATCTCGGGTACAGCACTGGTATTCCAAAATGTCACGCTTGAATATTACTCAGGCTAACTTTTTTTGAGTGCATCGTATTGTTATACCCGATATATATCGTGAGAAGTTTATTTCGGCTTCAGTTCAACAGATGGCATCATCTTACTAAAGGTTTCAAAAGATAGAGGTTAAAGTTCAAAGTGCGCGTCACTTTTTTTTTACTTTTTGGCTGCGAGGCAAACATTTCATTTTTTAAATTAAAAAAATTGAAAATTTATGCACCCAAATCATGAAAATAACTTGACAGTTAAAAGGTTAATCAGTGTTACATAAAACCAAGGTGAGACCTTAGCCATCACGAGCACTAAATTCCTTTGTATGGCAACAGTTCATGTTTGCAGAAAAAGGTTGGTGGGAAAATATGCTATGTGCCTGTTCATTACATAACACGAGTATCTCTTAAAGTTCAACTCTGAAAAGCAATCATTAAAAAATATATAAAATGGTTCTCATATAATAATATGAATGATTTTGTGGCCCTCAACTAATGATATTTGGTTATCACTGCCCTGAATAAAGAGTCAAAATAAAGCCATGATCTGCAAAATTACTAATGTTATTGCTGATAATAATATTTAGTTTTTCTAAGTTTCATATGTTAACATGTTTTGAAATATGACACACAGAGGAATTTCTTGCATGAAAACTTGCTTTGTTGAAAAATTAATAAGAGCTTTTAATCTCAAATATCAAAACAAATGTTTTATAATTTCTAAACATATTGTACAAAAACAGCTTCATAGAAATGACACTTACTCTTTCTTGTCACGCTGCTCCCCTTTAATGAGAGTCAAATTGCGTAAAAAATTTAACGAGACAAGAGGATAAGATCTGGCGATTTTCAGATAACCTCGAATTACTTCAATGTTACTAAGGCTTGCTTCAAGTTCTTTAATAATGCTATCTAAAATACAGAAATGTCTATATGTTATTTCTCACAGTGTTTACATTCCCTTTATAATTCACAGTATAAAATTTAAAACATGAGAAACTGTATTTATATAATTTTACTATTATTGAGGCTAAACCAGATTCAAGGTTTAACATGTATGATACGATACACATTACGCAAATTATTATTAATGAACATTCTGCACACCAAATAAAACAATACAGGGTTTGTCAAAGTACTTATGCAGCTGCCATTGCTTAGAAAATGACAAATTTAAAATACCTCATTTAAAAACTCTAAATTATAATTTAGAAATAATATTTTTATGTTTAAATAAGACTTGCTTACTGCAACTGATGTATTAAACGCGAAATACTTATATCTATACATACTTATATTATCTACAATTTTAGTTACTTACTACCCCCTCCATGAATTTGTATTTCCAATGAACCATTCACAAAGGTACAGCCTTTCATCTTCTGAGCAGTTTGAACACTATCAACAACTACACCTTTACAAACTGCAAGAAGAGAATAAAAAGTAACTCTTTAAAAATGCAGCTATAAATATAGAATTCAAATGGAGATGAGTTACATTTTACATAATTATATAGTTTAAAAGGAACAGAAAACACTTTAAAATGATATTTAGAACCATTATTTAATTAAAAGCATCTACACAAAATATGAAATTTCTCTCTAAAACTTATTTTAAAAAACTGCATAAAACATAAGACAATAAATTTGGTGAAAAATAAGCACATAACCTTAATACTACATCAGAATCATGAATCAGTCCCTTGTTCTTCGCAAAATTTGTTATTGTGGTTACTTTAATAAAACAATGCCTATTTATTAATATTATTGTAACTGGAAATATTCTTTGGTATTACTGATGTTGGCAAATATCAGTGCTTTTGCTGTCTTAATATGAGTTACCTCAAAATCAGCTGGGATGGCTTCCATAAAAAATTCTGAATTTTAAATTTTGTTTCACGCTTTCTTATGCTAAATAATTCAGAACAACAAGAAAAGAAATATTGTTTTGTCATTTTGCAACCCATTCTCCTTTTAAAAAAACACACACACTGAAATGTTTCAGATTTCAAATTACATCCAAAGGGGCATTTTTTTAACATTTTGTGAGTTACATTTATTTATTACATATCACGTTCTTCCTACTTAAACCATAAAATTCAGTTCAACAGCAATATCGCAAAACAGTTTTAAAATTAGCATATCTTTAAAACTTCTGACACACAGACTCACACATTTGAGACAAAAATGTTTTTTTCTGTACAACATTGCCATTGCTCGCTTTGAAATCCTTGAGTATGTGAATCAAAAATTCGTTAAAGTTTTACAAAATAGGAAATTGATATAAAACAAATCCCAAATTTCAAATTTTCTTCCATATGCCCATATTCGTAGGAGGATTACATCATTCAAAATTCGATGGCTCTATGTACCTTTGTTTTATCACAATGCGAGAAATATACACACATTTATGCAAATTTTTCATTATTTAATTTCTTTAAATATAACAAAGGGTGATAATACTCTGTGGCAACAGTTAAGAACAATAGTCCTTCAGGGACAAAGCCTCTTTGGACTAAAAAAACGCTAAAGGTGCATATTCACTTAACATCTAATAACAACTCTAGCTACTCCAGAATACCATTAATAAAACAAACTGCACAGTTCTGAGAAAAAGACAAAAATTAATTAAATTTTCAAGCATCCTTTTTTTTAATCTTCATATGACATTCCAATAGATTATATAGGGTAATGGCAACTAAGTGATTGCACTTTAGATATGAAGGAAAATTCAAAATTTTTACTTAAATATAATTTGATTAAATTAGATATTGCCTGTTTTTGTTGATGACATTTTGTTTTCTTTCAGACAGTGTCATAATTCTATGTTCATAAAACTCCTGATTTTTGTCGACAAATAAATTAAATGTGATTTTTTATCATCAGCATCATTAAAAATTCTATCATCTAAGGAATTCTGCACAATAAAATAGAAATGAGAATCTGAAGGCACGAAGTAACAGCTATGGACGCTCTTGCCATCTCATAGGTGCACCTCCCAGCACGCCGTCAAGAACCATAATAATGGCCACTAGCTAACCACATTGCTGTTTTCTCTCATCATGGTTGCCAGATCACTTCTGTCTTAACATACCGCCCGGGTTGGGCATTTGTTACATAGTTAACAATGACCAAAATTAAACAGTTTTAAATCACCATATAGTCCAAATCATATCACAAAATTTAAATTGATACACATGAACAAAGCAATAAACATAATTAACCACAGAACATGAAATGCACAACATCTAAATTAAAATACAATGCATATATAATAATTTTTTGAACTCAGGAAATATACATGAAATTATGTAACATCTACTGGTAGTACAGCTAATTTAGTTATTGTC